TGTTTGGAGATCAACGGAGAAAGCAGGCAGTCGCGTAGCCGTAGCCGTAGCTGGAGACGGAGACGGAGCAGCAACGGTGAACGGTGAACGGTGGGAGCAGAACAGGAGGAACAGGAGAGACGCGCGCGTGTTCACTTTGCCAACGCAACAGACACTGGCGGGCAGCCGGCAAGAAGCCAGGCCCGCGACCATGGAACAGGCCTGGCCAGGCCAGAACCGAGCAGAGCAGAGCAGAGAGCGAACAGATAGATAGAGAGAGAGAGAGAGAGAGCACACACTTCTGCAGAGATCTCGGCGCTGCCAACAAATTTTGTTGTTTTTTCTTTTTTTTTGGGCAGCACAGCGTCGCAGCAGAAGTGGCAGCCAGCAGCAGCAGCAGCCAGCAGCAGCAGTTCCTCCCATTCTCTCTGGCGTTGGGGCCTGCTCTGTCTCGCTGCTCGCTCGCTCGCTTGCTTGCTGCCCCACTCGCTCGCGAGACACACGCACACTTCCGGTGGGCGGGGGGTGTTGGGGGAGCTCTGTGCTGCCACTCCACGGCTGCATTCGGCGGCCGTAAACAACAATGGACGTGGCTGGCGAGACGCTCGCGCTTGCTGTGTGGCAGTTGCAACAATCTGTGGCCAGCCCCAAAAGAGCACCAACAATGGGCCCAGTTCCAGTACAGTACTAGTGCCCCATCCCTCCCCCCCCAACCACATTCCCATCTCTATGCCACTCCAGCAGCAGCAGCGGCAGCGGCAGCGGCAGCATAACCCATCAGTATGGGACTTCGGCCTCATCAAAACATTGCTTGGGCCCAAGGCACAGTGGCACAGATCAATAGGGAAGAAGCTAAACAAATATGATCAAATAATGGAACAAATAAGAGAAAAGAGAAGAAAATAATTCTCATATCGAATTAATGGCAGAGGGAAAGCATTCCCAATAGAAATAAATAATACTATTTATTCATAGAGGATTTCCCCAAATCAATTGCCGTGCAACTCTTTTGCTCACATCCAGAAACCAATGGGCCACGTGCCAATGTGCATTTGGGCAAACTATTTACATACTCGGCATTTATTTCTCGCACGCTCACGAGCGTCGAAGAAGCCACGAAGCGGCGACAACGACAACGACAAGAGCAGCCCGACCAAGACCCGATACCCAATGATTTGAAGCGACAACAGACTGAACGGACAACAGCTGAAGAAGGAGTCGGCAGCCAGCCACAGAGAAGTAGTTGGAGGAGCTGAGGCTGGACCTGCAGCTGGAACTGGAACTGAAACTGGAACTGGAGGATGACTTGGAGCAGAGTAAATGAAATGGACAGCATACGCGGTGGGTGTGGAGTGGCGTGACGTGGCGTGACGTGGCGTGGCGCAGGGCTTCCGCCCACTTGTATTGTTGTGCCAGTATGTGGCTGCTTGGCGCGTTGTTATTTGTGCGATTTCCGCTCATTATTGCTGCAATCAGGCAGACAGAGCTCTTTGTCCTGTCCAGGACATGAGCCATTGGACATGTAACATTGGACATGCAACATGCGACATGGCAGTATGGAGATGGAATTTATGCGTATTTTGATTTTGCGCCTAGACATCATGCGGGGCATATCAATTGGAGTTTTATGGCGGGCATTGTCACAGCTGGAGTTATGGAAATAAAAACTGTCTGTCTGTCTGTCTGTCTGCCATATCCGTTTGCCGATTTGATTAAGTTGTCAGCGGCATCTCCAGCTCTAACTCCCTCAATCTGCATGATGTACAGCTGCCGCCCGCAGACACCACACAATGGCAGTGGCAGCTGGGACGGGGTAGCGGGGAAAATGCTCAATTTGAGTATGGCAAATGGAGGATAGCCATCAAAATTCAATTGGTTTGAGGCACTACGTGAGACGCCTAGCATAGTCTTCGCCTTCGTCGTCGTCGTCGTTGTCGTCGTCGTCTTGAGACAATGGCCGAGCAGATCCCTCTGCATAATTCGGCCATTAAGAGATGTTTTCTTGGCCCTGGCTTAGAGCAGACAGTCGCTATTGCTGTCGCTGTTTCTTTTTTGCCATTTCTGCTGCTGGCTGAGACAATGTCCGGAAAGGCCTTGCCTCATTAATGCACACTGTAAACATTACCCGGATATGACAGTCGAATAGACAGACGAATAAAACAAAATGCATGGGCCCAGCGCCAAATGTTGCATTAAAATCCGAGAGCAAGACACCACAGAATGAAAAGGGTCCAAGGTACAGCCCCAGCCCAGTGTACAAAAGCATTTCAATTAGTCACGGGTCTCCCCCTCCTTCTCCTCCTCTCGAGTAGCCTCCAATGTGTAGCCTTCGATCTGCACTTAAAGCTAAAGCCAAACTTAAGCCTCATTTGAAGACACTTCAGCGAGAAGTTTGACAGTGAAAAATGCGTATTTAAATTGAGAATTCTCAGAGGGAAAATCAATTGCTAAATTTCGTAGTTTCTGTAATAGAGGAAGCGTCCAACAAGAGTCTGCCTGCCACTCGTAAAGCATCCCTCGCTGGCAAGTCTTTCGAGTTTCTTGGTTTATTAGACAAAATTCTGTGATCTACCGCAGAGGGCAGTAATTTTGTCACTTTAATGTAGTTTCATGTTGCAGACCCAACCGACAAAAAAGAAAAGAGAAAACACTTTGATGAACTAGTTGGTGGTGGCATGTTGCCGTTGTTGTTCTTGTTGTTGTTGTTGTTGTTCTGGGCCACTGCCACCCACCGTCCATCGGCACCTCTGCCTCGTTATGATTTTATGATCCGACCGAAGGAACCGCACACGCAGATTTTATGAGCGATGTCAAATGGTTGCGTCAGTTCTTGTTGCGATCGAAAAGAAATATGATTTGTAAAATTGTATATCACACAAATTTAACGAGACGCCGCGGCTCATGGGCATGGGCATGGACATGGGCATGGGTATGGGCTCATTGGGTATTCCCCAGGGGACCCACACATGGGGATGGGATGATGGCCACACTCAGAACATAAATTATAATTTTTTCAGCACCCTCAAACGCCGCGGGATAGCAGCGTAAATAAATAAAATTAATCGAAATAACAGGCAAACACTGCGCATAAAATTGATAAAAGACGTTCGCATTAAGGAGAAACCTGCCAGAATCCCAGAGAAAACGCAGAACCGCTTGCCATCCAATCAATTGGGAGCCATAGGCATTGCCCGATCCCATCGGTGAGGTTTAAACGGGGTCAAGCGATTGCATTCCCATTCCTCCCATGCCTTCGTATTCCCCCCGGTTTCTTCTTTTTTTTTTTTTGGTTTTTTTTAACAAAAATAGCGCAGACAACGGCATCGAAAATATAATAACAGCCAGAGAGACGGGGCGCGACGGAGAACTGGAGAAAGAGTCCAAAAATAGTTGCCCACACTTCTCTGGATTTGGTGCTCCGGATGCTGCACATGGAACATCATCATTATGCACAAAAATGCAGCCCAGAGCAGGAGTTGGGCGTCGGTGGAGCAGTGTGTTGTGCTCGGTGTGGTATGGGAGGTACTGCTACTGGTTGCTGTGGCAACTGCAGCGTCTGTGTCGCATTAATCTATCATCGTCATCATCGTCATCAGCCGCAGAATTTTATGATGGCAAACAAAAGGCCGCGACAACGCCTAGCACCGTGCGAAAGGTCATTGTTGATGATGACAAAACGCGATTCCCATGCGGTTGGCTAGACGGCGGCTCACACAACCCCACACACACACACACACACACACACAGACACACACAGACACCCCTCATCCGCATCCTCCATTCATGGCTCAGCTGCAAAAAACCCCAGTTTCCCCAGTAAGCAATGCAGATCTCACTGCGAGCGTAATTCGAATAGATATTTAAAAGGTAAAAATGTTGAGGCATTAATTAATAAATTAATTAATTTATAAATGAAATATATGTATATTAATAACAGATATAAGTTGTTCCTTAAAATTAATGAACTTATTTAAATCGAAATTCGATTATAATCACTCAAAAAAAGCCCAACAAACTATTCGGTTTTCAGTTTTAGTTTTCTCAAATATGCTGCGAAACAATATCAGAGCTTGTAGCTGGCATGAAAGCAAAGGCACAAAAGATTTGCATTGTTATTGGCTGGGGGGTAGATGGGGCGTGGGATCTGTAAAAAGTAAAATGTTGTAGTTGTACAAACAGGGGGCTAAGTGACCCCCACACTTCAAGAGATCAGCTGTCAAGCATGTTGCACAGCTTGAGCACTGCTTGATAAGCGCGTTTGACGGAGTGGGAGAGGGTGAGGGAGAACCGATTTGCAGAGCTTTAGCTGCGTTTTTACAGCAGCTGCAGCTGGCACTTGGACAAACATTGCCAGTTCCTGGGGGTACCGCCTCTTATCAGGACTCCACACTGACTTTTCTTTCTTTTGCAAAGAAAGAATCCCTTTCATTGGGGCATGAGCATTCCCCCTGCCAGCCTATTATTTAGGGAATATTATATAACGAATTGTTCAGAATATGTTAGTGTTCCCATGCTTTGTTCTGTTCTTTGCTTTCTTCATTTCTTTCTTCATATATTTTTCATTGTTTCCTTACTCATTGGCGACATGTGTGGAAGATCTGGCTAACCTTCGTCGTGGGTCGTAGTCGGACCACACCTACATCCGAGTAGATCCATCACATGAAATAATCATCGACAAAGCGAGCTTCGTTTTGTACGAGAGTAATTTATAGATTGACACGGACCCAAAAAATAATCCCCAAAATCATCAGCTGTTAGCTTTTTACCGTTAATTCGAAATAAACAGCAAAGTTCACAATCCAAATGTTCAAACAACCCAAAAGCTTTCAAAGCTTCCACAGATAGATAGTGCACAAAATATGCCAGACAAAAGTTCGCGGCAAAGCACAAAGCTTAAAGCAGCTTTTAGACAGTTCCAAAGCCACGGGGAAAGCATTTCCAGTGAAAGCTGAATGCTTTGAAGCTTTTAGCGTTATGAGTAAGAGAGAAAGAAAAAATAAATTTGGATGATATTAACTTACCTGAAAAAATAGTGTAAACGCTACCCATTGATAATATTTTGTGTGCTTTATTGTTAGAGGGCCACGCCCCTGTGAATTGTGAACTCCGGGAAAAGGCACCTCGGAACCTTGCTTCTTCATAAACGCATCGACCACTGTATACGTTGAGTGTATCCAACAATATGTGTTGAGAACATCTTCGGGAATGTCTCTGTGTGCCAAAAATGAATAAATATACATATTAGAGTGGATTGATTAAAGGATATTCGGCTGATTCAGACTCACCTTGTGTGTACACAGTCTATGGGATTTCCTACGTACTGCCGCGTCGTCACAGCAATCGAGAATGTGATCAGTAATATAACCGTTGCGTTGGTGTGCAGGCGAAAAACAGGTGAATCGATTTTGACATGAGACACCTGTTATCGAGCCATCGTTATCGATATCGCAGAGTTGTGTTTTATGTTGTGTGTGAATTGATTTTTGGTTTATATTTTTATTTTTTTTTGTGGTTTGGTTTGGTTTGGATTGGGCGAAGAGAAAGAACATTATTATTGACGGTCGTGACAGTGGCTCAAGTAAATCGATCGAAAGTAAAAACGAAACGAAAAAAATCAAACTGATGATGAGAAACTTTTCTGGAACGCAAAACTTTTGCTATGTCTGTTCTGAATATGAAGTCGAGGACTATGGTCGATTAGTACTCGGGTGCTTTTCATATCTGGGGGGTTATCTGGTTATATACATACACGTACATAATGTATATATAGTAGATATAGATTGGTACGTAATTCAACTCGTTTCAACCATTTCTGTTCTGTTCAGTTTTTTTTTTTTTTCTGTTTTAGGGGCCTTACAAATATCTAGTTAACTCTCGCTTACAAATTAATATGAGGGGCGGGTGGGGTTGGGTGGTAAATACTTGCTCCAGACACAGTACAAAGTTTTTTTTTTCCAGATTGGATGCCCGTTGCCGTTCCGCTTTCAAGCTGAACTCTGAACGTATGGCTGTGATCGATCTTCCATCTGTTCAACTTGAAGGCGGAGCAGAGAGCAGAGCCTTGTTTGTGGGTATTAAAATTAATGCGAAATAAATACAATTTGCATTTTGAGTATTCTCGAATTCAGGTCGGCTTTAATCGGCTTACTTTTTTCTTTTTCTTTTTTTCTTTTGGTTATTCTAAGCAAGTAAGTATAGTAAGGTGTCACAGCAATTGTTTCGACTGGTTGGTTCTTCATTAGCCCTTTATTTATAACACAAAAACAAAAAGGAAAAACAACTAAAAAAAAGAAACAAAGATTTGTGTGTATGTGAAACAGATAGAGAGATAGATATATATATATATATATAGAGAGAGAGAGAGAGCGAGATTGAGAGGTTGAGAGAGGTGTGAGAGAAACGAAAAGTGATTGAACTGTCTGGGAATGCAAATTTCGAGATTCGATTGCATTTGAATGGGGGGGCACTGAAGTGATTAATTGAATATTAAATTGAAAATGTGAAGAGAAATGAGAGATTGAGAGTGGATTTCTACCGCTTCTACTTGTGGTTTGTTTTAGGTTAACCAATAGAACTTTGCTTCAAATTTAGCTATTGAATTTTCTTGATTTCTAACGATGACCACTTAATTGATATTTTTCCAAATGTTAACTGACTGATTCGATTTTCTGACTGACTAACTGACTAGTTATGTTTGAAATTGGTTAACAAATAAGGCAAACCAAAAACTTGGAATACACAGAGAGCGAGAGACAGAGATTGAGACTGAGATTGAGAGATTGAGATAGAGAATGTGAGAAGAGAGACCTGTGAAATTTCGATAATGGCTTCAGAATTTGAGAATTGAATCGGAATTGAATGCATATAATTGGTTGAGTGATTCGGTGGTTCAGAGTGAGTGGTTGAGAGTTTGTTGGTTTCTGGAATCGGTTTTCTTGATCGGTTTTGGTGTTGGAAAACGAATTGGAATTTGGATTTGGATTTGATTTGTGGTTCTTTGTATCGTTTCGGCTTTGGTGGCAAAGGTGAGTTGAGTTCTTGTTAGTTAATACTTTAAGTGGTGAATACTGAGTCTGAAATTATTGCTGCAGTGGTGAGAGCAGTGAAGTGATCGGTCAGTGATCGGTGATCTGTGATCTGTGATCGGTGGTGATCATTATTTATCTGTTGTGATTTGTGGGGTGAGAGAGAAACATTTTGTGCAACAGCCACAAAGCTGCGCTTGTTCGTGAGTTGTGGTGACAGTGACCGTGATCGAGATCGCGGTCTTATCGTGATCGTGATCGTGATATTGGTGAGTGAGTTTCTTGTGATAGGCTGTGATCGTGATCGTGATCGGTGGTGTTGGTGTTGGTGAATTGGTGGGTGTTTGGTGAACTTTCGTGTGTGTGATCGCGAAAGACAGAGAGAGAGATAGAGAGTGATAGAGAGTTCGAAACAGAGAGATATAGAGTGAAGTGATCGAGTGAGTGAGGGTACAATATAGAAATTAATTAAATATATAGTTGAATGTTAATTGAATTAGGTATTATAGGTGGTGAAAAATCTATGTGAGCTGGAGATTGAATTTAATTGAATGTGGCGAAAATGTACGAGAGAGAACTGCTTATATAAAATGTTTAAAAATTTGTTTACGTTTATTCTAATAAAATCAAACACAATACACAAGTTAGAGTGAGACAAACAGACATAGAGAGCGATATAGAGAGATACATATATATATTATATATACTGAGATAGATAGAGAGAGAGAGAGAGATATATATATTTATATTTAGTGAGCGTGTGGTATAGGTAGAGACAGATAGCGCTGCAAAAGCTTGGGTTCTAAGGCTCAGTGGGCTGGGCGCTGTGTTCGGTTTGGTTTTGGTTTTGGTTTGGTTCGTTTTGATTTCTTGCTTAAAGATCGAAGTGTGTGTTCAGTTACCGATCGATACATGTATTTGCATACGAGTATATTCGGTTCCCCTGACACGCATCGATCTAAGCATTTGCAAACAATAATTGCTCAATGGTTTATTTCGCTCTATCTTTGGTTTTCTTAGCTTTACTATTTCGGTTAAGCAGGTTCTTCGTTATCCATTTTTGTTTTGTTTCATTATTATTTTGTTGTGTCTGAGTGTTGACTGTAGTATATATCTCTTGTTGTTTTATTTGTTGTAGTTTGTTTTTGTGGTTAATTTCGAAAACTAAAATCAAAACTTTCTCAATTACATCTGGGATAGTTATAAAGAAACAGACAGAGAGAGAGAGAGAGACAGAGAGAGTATATTGCTAGCTATTGTTTATGGTATAAAGATCTAGATATGGTATATAGTTGTTGTTTGTTTCGGATCTCTGTTTTGTTTATTTTGTTCTTTGTTTCTTGTTACTGTTGCTGTTGTTGTTTCTTTGGCTGTAGTAGTAGGTTGTGTGTGCTGCTGGCCATTTTGGAGTTTGGAGTTTGGAGTTTGGAGTTTTGTTGTCTGGAGCTGACTTGACTTGAGTTTTGTGGTTTGGTTTGGTTTTGTTTCTGGTTCTGGTTGCGTTTAGCTTTAGTTTTGTTTCTTTTGCTGGTTTACTTCTTTTTCATATACTTAAAGCTGACAGAGATACATACATACATGTAGATAGATATATATATATATAGTAAGTGTCTGGTTTTATCATTTATAGCTGCTTTATTGGTTTTTTGGTTTCGGTTTTTGGTTTGGTTTTTGGTTTGGTTTTGGTATTGGTTACGCTTGCTTTTCTTTTGCTTAGCTGGTTTTCTTTTGCTTATCTTTTTTTCTGGTGAGGTGGAGGGTAAGGTGAGAGTCGTGATATTGCGTGAGAGAGAGAGAGAGACAAATTCGAGTGAGGTTGTTTTTTGGTGAGTAAGTGATTTCGTGATTGAGTGATTGAATAGAGAGAGAGATAGATAGCTAGTGAGTGATTTTACATAGTTATTTATTCAATTATCTTTAAGTTTTATTTTCGGCTTCTTCTTTTTACGTGTATAGATTTAATTGTCTTGTTGTTTAATTTCGATTTAGCTTTGTTTTTCTGTATTAAGTGTTGGTGAGAGACAAGTATACTTATTCTTAAAGAGAGAGAGGGGGAGATAGATAGATAGATAGAGAGTGGTACGGTACAGTTGAGCTTGGCTTATCCTAGCAGTCGAAGACACGGGGCGGGGTGGGTTTCTTAGCTTCGTTAGCGTCGAGTGAGTGAGTAGTACTTGACTTGGCCATTCCAAAGAGTGAGAGTGAGTGAGTGAGCTGGTGTGACCAGGTGAGAGCGAGCTAACGTGTGACAGAGAGCGGCGTGATACGTGAGAAAGAGAGAGAGAGACAGAGCTTGATTGTGGCAGAGTGTGTTCAACGAAAGACAAAGCAGGACAAGGACAGAAAGAGAGAGAGAGCAAGTTAAATCATACAGGATGTGTGTAACGGATTGGGATGGATGGGGAAGAGGGTTCTTTAACCGAGTGTCTTGCTGGAGTGGCTGGGTGATTGCTGGGGAAGCTTTCGTGTTCGACTAAGTTGCTGCTCGGCTTATGGCATTCGCTGATTCGTGACTTTTGGTGACTTTTGGTGAGTCGTGACTCGTGAGTGATTCGTGAACTCGTGACTTTCGTGTTTGGTTTTTTTTGTTTTTGGTTCTGGTGACTCGTGTCCTGTGCTTGGCGTGTTTCACATTTAGCTGTTTTTTTGTTTGTCTTTTGTAATTGTTTAAATGTTTTTTGTTTCTTGTTTTTGTTTTGTTTTTTATTTTGCATTGCATCGATTCGATTGTTTCTTTGTGATTTTTGGTGAGAGGCAGAGAGGCATATTTTGGCATTACTTTCGTCACAATTTTCACAGCGTATTTTTTTTTTTTTTTTTTTTTGGATTAGATTTTGCGTGAGTTCTGGAATGATGGTGGGTTCGAATTGGCTTTTTGTTTTTGGTTTTTAAACTTGAGTTAGTTAATCAATCGTTTAGCAGAGACTACAATGTTTAGGTGAGGCGTTTACTTTGGTTTCTGGTTTCTGGTTTGTCTTTCTTGTAATAGGCACTTTCCAGGGTCTTGTCTGGGTTCTAGACTTTGGGATAAACACACACTAGACAAAAAAACATATTAAATATAAACGACAGAGAGAGAGAGAGAGAGAGTGATAGAGGGAGAGAGAGACAGACATAGAGAGTGGGGCACAATAAGGTAGAGAGTGAAAATAGGGAGAGTTGTAGGAAAATGAGACATAGAGACGGATGATCATTGAAAGGCGTAAATCAAAACATAACTAAAACAGTAAACCGAAAATGTCTACGAAACGAAATCCAAACGAAAGCAAAGCAAGAATAGGGGCCTTGAAGCGGAAGCCAATGGAAACAGGAAACAGGAAGACGGTCGGACGGTGAACACGACTGCGGCATACCCTGTACATAGCCTGCAAGCAGAACCTAAAAACTGATACCC